TGTACCGGAGAGACCGTATCGGTCACGTGGGCCAACACGTGCCATTTCGTCAGACACCCATGCATAGCCACGTACAAGCATCACCATCAACGTCGGCTCGGCATGAGGCCGAGAACCGACATCAGTCTGGTTAATGCAAATATGGACCATCATCATTCATCGAGTCGGCTCGGTCAGGTACCGTTCCGACATAGAACATACCGGAAGTATACAGGCTGCCGTATACGGACTAGACGGTTCGGTCATTTGCCGTTCCGACTAGTATTGATTAGCCGGCTCGGCCTCTTGCCGAAGGGTTAAGCAAGTCATAACAAGTAATCACAATCAAGAAAGGTAAGTACATGATTAAAGCCTAAACGACCAATTAGTACCGTATTACCTAATTTGGTAAATATCTGAGAGGGCCCATCACGCTCAGGCCCATGTCAGATGCTATAAATAGGTCACACGTAACAAGGTATGTCACTGTTCATTCATTACCCTAGAAAATCGTGCCCACACTGACTTAAGCTTCGGAGTATCTTTTGCAGGTACCTCCCCCTCCGAAGAATCCACCTAGAGCTCTCGTTCGGTCCTCATATTCCCCTGAAGATTACGAGTGTACCCTCAGGCAGGTACAGGATCAAACTTGGCCATAAAAAACATGGCAATGTCCACCATATCCACAACCCAATGGGAAGTTTTTCCTGGGGATGCGGTTTTATAATTTATAAAATTTAAATTATAAAATATCATATATTATGAAAGTTATATAAATATTTAATTTTTGTTATTAGATTAACAAGAAAAATGATATAAAAAAAATGATAATTCCTACCTAATAACAATAAAATATTTTGTAATAAAATACAATAAAATAATTTATTAAAGGCTTATACATGAAATGTTGCACTGATTTTCTTTTTTCTAAAAAAAAAATAATTTAAAGTGATATAAAAATAATATGCCTAATAAATTATTTAATTTAATTTATTTTTTAATTAGTTAATAAAATTAATGTGTTTTTTTATATAAGTTGGATTCGTAGAAAATATAGTTGACAAAACCTAATGAGATAAACATAGTTTATGGAAAACAGTATTTCCTAGGAATCTTTTTTTTAATAACTACTAAACATGGAAAATCAAGATTTTATTTTTAAATAATTATCAAACATGGAAAACCAATATTCCTTATTTAAAGGTTTTCTACATTGCCTTTAAGCATAGTTTTAGAAATTGACTCAAATTGACTGATTCGATTGATTGAATTTGAGAATAGGTTATCTAGGCATACCAAACATCTCCTAATGATTTTTTACATCGCCTTTAGACATAGGTGAAATTGGTTGATCCGATTGATTGAATTAGTAACATGTGATCCAGTGACCGATAGTAAACTCAAAAATATAAGTAAAATATTTGTAAAAGTGTTAAAGGTAAAATTTGAACACAAAACTATTCTCATGTATGTGTGAGTGTCTTACTACTAAGTCAAATAATTTTTTATTACCATAACATAGTCTATTATTATATTGACTTAAATAATTTATAATATATTCTTTATTTGAAATTATATATTAATTTATGTGGTTCAAAGAACCTATAATTTAATTATTCTATTATTATTATTGTTATTTTTATTATTATTGTTATTTTTATTATTATTGTTATTATATTATAATATTTTTTTGATTTCTCTAAAAAATGATATAAATTTTATTAAAATTTAAAAATATAAAATATATGATATAATTTTTTAAAAAAAAAATTAATAATTATCGAATTATGTGATTCAATTACTAATTCACTACTTTGACATCTAACATATTAACCTAATACTCTAACTAATTTTATAATTAATCTAATTTTTAAAACATTATCACTAGATAATCATTCATAAGAAAATTAATATTCTTTTCATCACAACCGAATTATTACAATATACTTTTATTTGTGTATTATTTCGACTTTAGCCTGTCACTATCCTTCGGTTTAATCTTAATTCGATCTCTTATAGATAAACAATTTAATCTTAAAAATATTTCCCTAATTACATAAGTTCAATCCCTTATAGATAAATCGGTGTTGTGAACCTAATAATTTATCTTAGATTTCTTTTTGGATTGACTGTTAGTCTCACCTTAAGCTGATTATAGAGGAAAAAAAACTTCATTCTCTTAACTCTTATTTATATAATTAAATATTTGTATGATGAATATAAGATTTTATTGATGTAATAATCTCATAAATATATAATAATAATTAAAATAAAAACATATATAATTGTTTGATGAATACTAGATTTTATTGATGTAATAATCTTATAAATATCTAATAATATTGAAAACAAAAACATATATAATTGTATGTTATAAATAAGTAAAAGGTTAAGAACTCTAAACTAAAAATGTCATTATTTTGACAATTAGATGAATAGTGACTTTAGTGTCATTTTCCTAAAATAATTTGATAGATATGATGCAAATGACCAACATGAAATTGACAATACAATTTAATAGGTCAAATTGAAACTCCAAATAAACTTAAGAATCAATTTTCTTTTTCTTTATAACTTTTAAAAAACTTGTCTAATAATTAGAGATGAAAATAAATTAGACAATAAACAGTGACTTATGATTTAACCTGTTTAATGTTTGACTTAATTTGACCTATTTAATAAAAAATCAAATTTAAACCTTAAAAAAAGATTATTTATTAAAAAAAATATTATACTTAAACTTATAAAAAAAATTGTTAAGTCTATCAAGCTAACTTATTTATCTATATAACATGTACTAAAACGTAATATACATAATTCATTTTCAATAATATAATTAAATAAATAAATTTGTAATACATAAAATTAAATTATCAATATTTTTTTTTACATTTTCACTACACTTAAACATATTTTATATTTTATATTCGTAAAAAATTAAGAAATCAAAAATAGAAACTTTTATAATCGCATATTTGCTTGTTCTTTTTCTTCATTTTCATAATTAATTATTTAAAATATTTTAAATGAGATATAAAAAATATTTATTTTTTTAATTAAATAATCTTCTTTGGTCATAATATGTGCATGAGTGTTTATTATTGTACATGATATATACATGTGTTGTTTTTCACATTAATTTTTCATTATTTTAAATTCTAAATTTTAATAATAATTCAATAAACTATTTTTTTTATAATGTAAGTTAAAAAATTATTCGCTCACGTATTTAAAAATAAATTTACTGGCTTATTTAATTTTATTAATGTATTTTTTAAATATACTAATAAACTAGACTTCTAAAAAGATGAAATCAAACTTATAAAAGAACCTGTAGATAATAAGTTAATCATAGACTTTAATTTTAAAATTTATACAATTTTTGGTACTTTAGAGTTGAAATATTATAACTTCTATCTCAATATCATGGAAGAGAAAATACCGAAGAGTCACCAAAAAGGATCATTGAGTGGTAGGCCAGAAAGACGGACAACACCTTTCCATTATATATTGGAACCCTATTTCATTTGTACAAAGCTCAACCAAGTCTAACAATGGGCAAAACTTTCCAATTGAGACTAAAATAATTTTTAGCCTTTGAAGGAATATCATGCAACTTTCAACCATTCAATCATAGCTAAAAATCTACCAAAGCATTGATTCATCTTTCTTTATATTTACTAAACTATAGAAAGAGATCTCAGTCTTTAAAATGAAATGAAGTTATCTACTGCAGTTTTTGTACATTCCATTTTGATTAAACATAGAGTTTTCACTTGACTACATGCATGGTGACAAATATTCACATGGTAATTAATACCAAGATAAATAGTTCATTATTCATTAACGATGCAAGGCTCTTACATGTGCTTCCCCTGGGTGGTGGTGGAAGGATGGAGAAGGTTCAGAGTTCTCATTAACACCACCATGATGATAACTTGGATAGCATGCCTTACATAGCTCGTTGTACCTACTCATGTTGAAGTTGTGCGTCTTCATGAGACGCTCTTGCTTGACTTTGAACCGGTAATAGAAGAAGCCTTGAAAGGTGGGTTCTGCAGAAGTTTTGAGGAAGAAAAGATACGCAAGAGCGAAGCCCATGGAGGTAGTGAAGAAGCATATGGGCTCCATCACGTCCCAGCTTAGCTCCCAGAAAGTGAGCCTCATGAATCCAAGGGTCTGAACTGTCAAAAAGCCCAGTCCAAAATAAAGCTCGGCCCGGACCTGGGCCTTAGCCTTGTCATCAATAACACCCTTCTGCTTCTCCATCTGCTCTAGCTCCTTCCTTCTTGGATCGTTTGGGTTGGCTATTGATTGATAGATTAAGCTCTCTATTGATTTTGCCACCTACAAAATAATATTTTTATAAATTAATGAAAAATCAAGAAAAAATTAATAATAATGAATATTAATTAACCGGAATACAATCAAATCTTACGTTAACTCAAATTTTTTAAAGTCAATCAAATCTCACACTTTCTGCAATGAGATTAATTACTAATTATAATTATAACAAAAATTTTATTGTATACTTATAAATTTAAAGAATTTTGAAATTATTTTATTATTTATTTATTTTAATAATATGTGAACACTTATTACTATAATTTTTTATTTCCATATGTTTATCTTTTTACACATACCATAGTAATTCCATGATCATGAACAAACCGTCTAAAATTTTGTCAATTTGGAGTTGCCCGAAAAATATAAATTGACATGCCGGAAAGCCCACGGGCAACTACAGTTAGGACAAAGGTGACACATTTTTAACAAGAGAAAATTTCACACGGTCACAGCATAATTAACATAAATTTTATCTACAAAAAAGAAAAATAAGCATAATTAACGTAGGTTAATATACCTATATACACAAATTTTTAAGTTGAAAAGTTATTAATTATTGTCATAATAAAAAACTGTAAATATATCAAATACTAGTAGTAATAAATGAAAAAGAAGGGTATATCACGCAACTTAAAACTGGTGCAGAAAGTGGTGATTGATAGTAAGTGATAACACCACCTCCCCCAGGAACAGGCATAATAGCCGCCTCGCATTCCACATGTCCAAACTCCACAACCTTTATGTTTCTATTGTAGTATGGACGGGGCAAGAGCCCGTTACGCCACACAAGGATAAGGATCACCTTTAGTTCCAAACTCAACGTAACACAATTTGGATTTAATGGCTTCCACTGACACATATTTATGACTTTAAATAAGTTACTAATATTTATTGTTTGTACTGTAGCTTATTGTTATGGCCATATTTTTATGCAGTCACAAAAGCGACTGTACAACAGTGACTGCAGAGAATCTGTGTGTTTCAAGGATCAAGATGCATGCAGCTAAAATTGTCACAGAATCTGAATCCTAGGACACTAATTTCCTCTAATTTTGTTTTGACTTTTAATAAATTACCATCTATTTCTCGTCATTATAATAATTAATAATTATTAATAATAATAATAATAGCACAAATTAAATAAATAACTGTGACTAATTTCTGTAATTAAAAAATACATGTTCTTGCAAACATAAATTTAAAGATAAATCATCAAACTACACAGTTATGTATTATCTGCCCAAATCATGTTAATGTTTCTGTGATACTGCTGACAATAAGGATATATCCATTCTGTGTTTGAAAGATGAAACTCTTCATTCAACTTACAAAAATATTATCCAGCAATCACTGAAATAAATAAATTTCAATTATAAATGCACTCAATCACAATTCAACCAATATCAGTTTCCTCAAAAATCTGTTTTGACGTTTAAAACAGTTATAAAGTTGAAGAAAAAAAATATATCATTGTAATTTGTAAAAGAGGACAAAACTAAAAACAAAAAAAACAAAAGAAAAATAAATCACTCGTCAAATAAATACTATCTACTAAAAAATTGAAGCAAAATAAGTTATATTCATTTTTGTTTAACATAAATAAATAAATAAAGTAGAAACTAGAATATGAGTTAGGGAGTTGGCCTTACCTGCTCCGGCCGGAGAAAAACGGCGTTTCCCAAAACGATGACGTTTCCGGAGTCATCCAAGATCTTCGCGAACTCAGCACCTTGTTCACGATTCTCGCAAGCCTCCACGCAGATCCGCAAGAACTCAGAGAACGGAATGGAACTTTCTGAAACATTCCTCAGCCTCGCCTTCACCTTCTCCATTTGCGTCGCTCTCAGAATCTTCCTCGCGTCGTTCGCAGACATTCCGATGCCTGGCTCCGCCGGAGCCACGCCGCCGAGACGGAGACGATCTCCGGCGGTGCTGTTGATGCCTTTGAGCTTCTCGCGGAGCCGCTCTCCGACCGGGAGAGTCAGGACCTCCGGCAGCCTCGTCGGAGCGGAGTGGTACACGGCTCGCCGGAAGAAGAACTGTCGGAGGAATCCTCCATCGGCGGTGGAGCTCGGTTGCGGCGCACTCGGCGGCGATACCGCCTGTTGGAGAGGCGGAGACGACACAACTTTGTGCTCAAACGGCATCGTCGTTTTGGTACCTTCGAAGAAACGCTTGGTGAGGAGTTTCCTAAGCGCCATTGAAGCGTTTCTCAATATTTTTTTTTGTATTTTATATTTTTTTTCTCTACCTCTCTTTTTCTTGAGAGAGGTATCGGATATAAAATACGAAGTGTCCAATAGAGCGGGATAGAATCACAGAAGGTTTTGTAGGCTCTTTTGAGAGATAGCAGAAGTTTTCCTGATGTATATATATGGGTCCAAAGTTCGAGGAAGAATTTTGCCTTTATTTTTATTTTTAATTTTATTTTACATTAAAAGGAAAAGGAATCTCAAATATGATTTGGTGGATTAATTGTGTTCCAACACTATTCATCTGTGTTCTAATTTTTTGAATTAAATTAAATCATTTTGCACATACAATGAATATTCCGTTATTAAGGTGCTGATTTTATTTATAAACAACAAATATCTTCTCCACACAAAGAGAAATAATAAATTTATTTAGAATAAAAATATTTATAATATAATAAAATTGAGTTTTTCTTTGATAGATTACACTAATTAAAGTTTTTTCCCTCCAGTAATTCTTTCATAGTCAACATCACCAATAGATACATCTTTCAAAAAGTTTAAATTTTCATTCATCATATTATGAGAATTTTTTCTCTTTTATTAAATCTAACCACACTAATTAGGCAAATACGAAAAGATATATATATATATATATATATATATATATATATATAATGATACAAACTAAATTCCAAAATAAATTTGTTGATTTACTGCATTATTATCAATTCAAACAACTAACATTAATATAAAATAAAATTTAAAATAAATATGTTATATTGTTAAAATGTTATCAATCCAAAAAACACAATTACTGAACATGAGTAATATAAAGTATTATTATTGATATTATTATTATTATTATTATTATTATTATTTGACTAGGTTGGGTTGAGTAACAGAAAAAAAAAATATATATATAACTCATAATCTGTTCCGTACAATGTCTGATTTTAACTAAATTAGATTGAGTCTGATCCAAACACTAAAATAATCCAATCCAAACTTATTGAATCAATTTAGGTTCATAGATTACTTTTACTCATTTACAACCCTAATTTTTTAATTTCACCATGTTTATAACACATTTAATTTGAAATTTAATTACATTAATTTTTATGTAAGTCTTGTTAGATAAGTTTAAAGTCTTAAATCTGTAAAAAAAAATTCAAAATGATTAAATTGACCTAAATTAAAAGATAAAAGACTGAAAATGTATATTTTAAAAGATAAATGACAACAATAAATTAAAAAATAAGATAAAAAATCAAAAGAAAAAATTTAACATGCGTTTCAATAAAAAAAAAAAAAAAAAGGAAATACTCTCTCAGTTTTTTTTTTCATAATTGTTTTGTCAGAATTTTTTGTTTTTGTTTCATTGTCATTTTACTAAAATCAATGACTTATTAATTTTTTTTCTCCATTTTACCCTTGATAATTAATACATGTTTACTGAAAAATGTGTATTTATTTTTAATGTCTACCTATTTTTTCTCCAACTACCCATATAAAGTTAATGTTCATTTATAAGAACAATATGAAGCCTCAGGTAAATATGAGATAAGCTAAAGAGTGAGGGTCATGCTAAAAATTTATCTGCCAGCATTGTAGTAATTTAATTTCTAGTTTTTTCATTTTTAACTTTTATTAGAAAATATGCAACTTTTTGTAATGATATTAACTTTTCGTAATATTCACTTTAAACTTTTGTGTTGATATTCACGTTTTGTGATGATATTCACTTTGCTAGCATATTCACGTTAATATATTTATTTTTTGTAATAATATTCACGTTAAATTTTTCGTAATCACATCAAATTGTTTCATTAGCCAATTTCTTATGTATGACTATTACCAATTGATAAAAACAAATTAAAAACAGAATACATAATTAAAACATAAGAAAGAAAATTTTATATCAATTTTGATAGAAGCAAATTTTAGATCAATTTTGATAGAAGCAATATAACCATTAATTCATGGACAGATATAATTAAATACAGTAAGTTATAGTTCACGTGTAATCAATGCATTAATAATTAATGAAGTAGATTGTAGTTCAACAGTCTCAAAAATGTAAAAATAAAATAAAATAAAGCGTAAAATAGGAAAGTAAGTAATAAATATTTTTGAAAACTAAAATATCAATGATTTCTTTAAGTCCCGTACAAAACCTTAAGTGACTATGAAAAAAAAATGGAAGGAGTATTATGTGATAACTAATTCTTTGCAAGACTTAGCACAAGTTGCAAGGAATCAAAATGTTGCTATTGTTGGGGGAGTTGTTGAATACAATGATATATATCATTTTCAAAGAAACATACCTACTTTCAAGAAAGGCTACAACACTGATCAACACTTATGAAGCTTAGAATTAGCTGAAAAAAATTAAGAAAATTTTTCATGTAATGACATGTCCAAAGGGATAAAGGAGGCCTTTGACACCTTTATGCTCGTTGAGGAGGCTAGGTATTGATCAAAGAATATTCGTTGATGCTTAGTTGTGAAAGCTATATCCATAACATGGGAAGGGAAGTCTTTAGAGAAATTTTCTTGGAGAAGTACTTTATTGAGGACATTTATAATTAGGAGATGGAGTTCCTAACACTCAATCAAGGGAGTCAAATATAATTTAAGATAAATTGGATTAACTGAAATAGGATAAATAAATATTATCAGATATATTATTTCAATATCAAAAAATATGGATTAGATATATTATTTTAATGTCAGAAAATATGGATCAAATCTTATTTTTAATAAAAATAAATATATACGATATGATATATAAATTATCTTATTAGATCTCAAAATTTTCAGGCCCATAAAATATATAAACAATTAACTATAAATAATCTAACCTAAGACATGGACAAACATATTGCACTTTTTGACTTTGGTTGAGCCTTTAGAAAAAAACTTAGACGTTCACCACATTATAACATTTTAACACTTATTGTGGGATCTCAGAAAACTTTTCCTACAATCACTACAACTGCAACCTCTTATCTTTTGGTTAAGCTTTTGCTCACCATAAATCTCTTGATCTCAACATGTTTGAACATTCAACAAACTTAAAATAAAGATATCTAAGTATTCAATTTCATCTCTTATTTTTAATGTCAAATTTTATTTTTTCGAAACAATTATATTATTTATTTTTAATTTTTTAAATTGTTCCTTCCATGTGATTAGGGATTGTAATATGTCAAGTAAATCAGGTTAGACTTTGAACATATAAGTTGGGTCTGTTCTATAAAATTAAAACTTAAGTCTGATCTATTATTTATTATAAAATTTTTTTATAAGTCTGACTTAACCTATTAGTTTATTTAAAAATCTATTTTATATATTTCTAATGTTAATTATATCAATAAAACTTAATTTTGAAAAAGCTAACAAATTTATTTTTTAAATATGTCGCTATGAGTTATTTTTTAGTTTATTTGATAAAATATATTTTACTCAATATTATTAAAATTAAAAAATTTAAAATATATTTAATGTCACTAAGAGGAAAAAAGTGAAGTATTTTCTACTAGAATGACAATTAAATATTTCTTATATCTAATTTATTATATTCTAAATAACCGACTCTTATTTTAAAAAATTAAAATAATTATGATAATAATTTATGGTCTAAAAAAATACTTATTGTACATAAGAGTGATTACAATGTTATAAAAAGAGAATAAATGAAATTATTTTCTATTAAAGGGGCAATTCATGTACATCCATGCAAACTAAAATATACCTATGCATAGACTATGACGAAAGAGAATAATCTTATTAAAAAAAATTTAATTACTTCAATTATCTCATTTGACATATTTTCAATAACTAACTTCTATTTTAAAAAAATTAAATTAGCTATGATAATACTCATTTAGATTATTGGTTTAACTATGGCAAAATTTAGTAATTTTAAAAATATGACACAATTATTCAATTTTTAATATGAATACAATTATCCATTTATTTATATTATTAATAATATATGCATATTAATTTTTATTATATTATATAGATAAATAAGTTGATTTATCTAGTCAAGGAAATTTTTTTATAAGTTTAAATTTGACCTTTTTAAATAAATAAGCTTTATTAAAAATCTAAATATAACATTTTTATTAAATAGATAGAGTCAAATCAATTTTTAAAGAACCTAAGTTGTAGTTCCTATTTAAAATCCAATATATTCTCATTTCTACACGCGATATCATGTGTGTAAATTATTTAATTTTTATTTTTTAAATTATTTATTGATACTTTGGTAATTGATGGTTGCACAGTTTAGCTAGATACATATTGATATAGGTATAGGCATCTATATTATAATACACTTTTTATTAAAAAAATAATAATAAATAGTTAGTAAAAAATTTAGTCCAGGTAAATTTGTACATTTACAGTATGTTTGATAAATGGAAAATATTACTTGCACATAATATGCTAATATATATACACCTAGGAAAAAAAATGAAGGAAGCAATAGATGTAATATTTCATCAGTAGATAAAGTGTGTAAAAGTATTAATTTATTAAGAAGTTATTTAATATAAAAATAAATAATTATAATTATTATTATAAAAATATTTTATTTTATTATCATTATTGTTGGGTTTGGTGATTAGAAAAGGGTAACAAAATGAATCAGTTTAACCTATTTTGACTCGACTCATAAAAAATGGAGTGGAGGGGCTAATATGGTAAAAAGAATATAGTTATAATCAAAGTACATTCACTAACTTATATTAGTCAATTTATTGTTTATTTTGTAATACTTTACATTTTTATTAAGTGTTGCTAATTTTATTAAAATTATTGCTATGTTGATTTGTTCTTAATCTTATGGAGAAATTTTGGAATTAAGCAATTCCTTATAAGTTTTAGGCTTTTAGAGAGTTTTATGGGTAGAGATCCAACTTGACCTTAAGGGAAGGTATATAAAGTGTTTTTTTAGACTTAAGCCTAGTTCATTTCTCAAAGAACTTCAGAGAGAGAGAGTAATGAGAAGAGTTATAGATCTTTGAAATCTCTTTCTCAACCTCTGAGGTGTCATAGAAACTCTTAATCGAGTAGTTAATTGGTGATTCAAAGTTGTTAAAGTTGAGAATCATTTTTTTATT